CCCATCATGCCTTGGATGGCCACTCGCCAGACCATTCTGTCCACTGGTATATCTACTCAGCCAGTCATGTTCACCTTCACTTCCTTCACTACTCAACAGTCACCAACTTCAGTTCAAGATCTATGTGGGAAAGTTCTGGGACTCTATCAGGGGAACTCCTGGGGCACCTTTTTTTTTATAGTTGGGGCTCAAATATTTTTATAGTTGTTTTAAAGGGAGAAATTTAATCCAATCTCTCTACCTTGCCATGTTGCAAGTCACTTCTTTTGTCTTTTAATCTTCATGTTTCCTTTTTAAGTGAGTGATCTACTGCTTTTACTATATATTTACTATTTCCAGAGTGATTTTACATGTTTTTTTATGTTAGTTAATCCTATTTATTTTCTTTCTTTTTCTTCTGCCACAAATGTTTATTTTTGTTAATGAAGAATCATTGTTTTCCATCTTTGTTGATATATTGACAATTTCATATTTCTTTACTCACATATGACAATCATCATTCCCACCAAAGCACCCACAGACCTTCACCCCAGTTCTTTGTGATCTCCTTTCCCCCATCCATTTTCATCTTTCCTTCTTTCCCCTTCCCTCTTAGATACCTCAGATCTATGGTCAGTACTCCAGGATTGAGTTTAAAGTTTGTCTTCATTTGACCCTTTGTTTGGTTTCTCTATATTCCACATATAAGTGAAAATGGGTGGTATTTTTCTTTCTACCTCTTGCTTATTTAACTTAGCATAATCCCTTCCAGCTCCATCCATATTGCTACAAATGACATGATTTCATCTTTTTTTGATCTCTGATTAGTATTCCACTGTGTACATACACATATGCCACATCTTCTTGATCCATTCATCTATTTGGGGGCATTTATGTTGTTTCCATATCTTAGTTACTATAAAATAAGTTGCAATAAACATAATTTTTGTGTTCTATGGATAGATACTTAAAAGTGGAATTGTTGTTTTGTATGGCAGATTTATTTTTATTCTTAAGGAATCTCCACACTTTTTCACAGGGGCTGGATCAGTCTACATTCCCACCAACAGTGTAGGAAACTTCCTTTTTCTCCATATCCTCTCCAGCACTTGTTGTTTCTGCATTTTTTTATATGCGCCATACTCGCAGGTGTGAGGTGATATCTTATTGTGGTTTTGATTTGCATTTCCCTGATGATAAGTGATGATGAACATATTTTCACGTACTTGTTGGCCATCTGTATGTCTTTATTTTTCACTGTTCAAGATTTCTTTGGTGTTTTATAATTGGTATGTCACTTAGATAGTCATTTACATTGCTTATATGTAGATTTTTCTTTTTACATTATATGCCAATGTACACATTTTAATACATATAGTATACAAAATATGATTGTTTAGAAGAGTTGTACACAAGGCATGCAATGTTGGGTTTATATGTTGGATAGCAGGTTGTAATTGACAGGAAAAAAATTAATGAGGTATATTGGATGAAGGAAGCAGAAATTAACTAGCACACAATAAACACACATCTGGTCTGCATGGCAACTGAAGCATGTAAACATCTGCAGTGGTGTCTCCAAGGTAGGGAACTGTTTCATGCTAATCAGTTTAAGACTACCGTCTAGCATCAGGGTGTAGCTGTAGGATTTTATGAGTCATCCTATTTCTACTTTAAGAAATTGATTTTTTATACCGTCTTAATATTACTGTTTTAGGCAAAGGTAAGATAAAAAGGACAATATGCACAATCTCCAACTAAAACCCTGTTGTACCATAAATAGTGAAGTGGCACAATATTAGACTTTAAAACTGCAACTCCTTTTGGATCCCCCAAAGTTTATCTGCACTCTTCTTCAAATGAGTCTTCTTCAGGGTTCAAATTCATCTTCACAACATCTAAGATTCCATTCTGTCCCAAGATGCAAGGTACAATGAAGAAGACATCATACTTGGGCCTCCCCTGGTGGCACAGTGGTTGAGCACTGGGCTGCGAAGCTGCCCACAGCCTCTGCAGCTCTGGTTCAATCCCCGGCCACTGGCAAGGGTCCCACATGGCGCAGCAGACCTCTCCTGCTGTGCCCGCTGCTCCCCTCAGCAGTGTGTTTCCTTGGTCTGCCTACTCTGTTCCCCGCTCTGGCTCTGGTGAATTCTCTCACCCTCCCGCACTTCTGACTGTACCCAGTGTTTGTATAAATAAGTAAAAAAATCTTTAAAAAAAAAAAAAAGAGAAGAAGACATCATACTTTACTCCATGGAGGCCCTTAATCATAGTGGATATTGGATGCAACCGCTTCAGATTGTTCATTATACTTTCTGCCTAATCTGCCACAGCTAATCCAATGGCCCAGTATGTGTAGCCTTTCAGTTTGATTACCTCATTAGCACTGCTAACAATTTGTCAGTCTCTTTCCACTGTTCCTTATCTCCATCAGTGCCTAAAGCAAGTTGCAGATTTTTCAGTGAAACACAAATGACATTCTCTCCAAATAGACCAACTACAGTCTCCATGCTCCCCAAGGACTCACTCATAACATCTTAATAGATGAACTCCAAGGCTAGGTAAAGGAACTGAGCTGAATTAGGTAAAAGAACTGAGCTGAATTCAGATCACAACCACTTCCAATAGCACAATATTGGGAAAGCCACTTATCTTTCAAGGTACATAGGCCAAGATATCCACTGGATTGGAAACTTGTAGTTTGGGTCATATTTTACAACATCAGGAATGATGAATTTGAAACAGGAGCAGACAGGGAGGGAGGCCAGATGGTAGGATGAAATGGCCACCCACCTGCCCAGGCTCTAAGACTAAAGAGCTGCCAAAAAGCTCCAAAGGGCCAAAAGGCCAAAAACCAAACCAAGCACTATAGCAGTACAACACCCAAACAATAGGGTTCTATGGGCTATAGCCTAAGGAAAGACAGTGCCAGATGAGAAGACAGGTCACTGTCTGTGGTTTCTCATCCATGTGCACAACTGCAAGAGACCTCAGCCTCCAGGAACAACAACCATGGGTTTATTTTACAAACAGGGGAAACAAAGAGCTTACTGTAGCCACTAGTGGCCCAGGAGTCCTGGACAGCACTGGCCAGTAATGATGGTCATTACTGGTCCTCCAGAGGCTGTGTCAGAGACACCAAGTGTTAACAGCTCTTTGTGAGTTGTTGGACTATATCAACAATAAACATCTCTTTGAGATACCAGGCCAGGCAATGGAGACAGGATCAGAGGCTGTCTCTGAAAATATCTTCAGCTTCTCCTCCCTCTTCCAGAGATCAGCTGCTGGTTGTTTCTTTTCTTCCTTCAGCTTCTGGTCCTTCTTTCTTCTTTCTTTGAAGGCCAGGAACAGAGTCTTGCCCTTCTTTTGGGGGAGCTGGAAACATTTGTCTCTTAGCTCCCTCCAATAATGGCTTATATCCTCTTTCGTGGTGCTCCTCCCACAAGTCTGATTGGACCATGTTTCAATCCTGTGGCTGATTGGACCATTTATCACCAATCAGCTCATAGCTCACACCCAATTGGTCCATCCAATGATCCAGGAAGTACAGTTGTATAAAAAGGCTCTAAAGAGCAACTGCTACAACAGACAAAAAGGCAGTTACTGGGTCTGAGAAGCAATTGCCACAATGGACAAAACATCAGTTATTGGACTCTGAGGAGCAACTGTCACAAATGACTTGTGGTGGAGCAGTAGGGTAAGAGAACACCACAGCTGCTGCAATGGTGGTCCCAGTAACAAATTTAAAGGTGTTCATGTACACTGGGCCAAATGAAAATGGCTTTCTCCCTCTTGCCGGTGTGCTCCAGCTTTGATGATAACCAGCTTGGATTTTGTTGTCACACTATAGTTGTTGAAATGTTTGGGTGCTCTAAGGAAAAGACCATGATATTGGAGGGCCTTCATCACTCCCTTCAATTTTGTCTCCCAAGACATCAACAAGAGCATGTTCATCTGCAAGTCTTTCATTAAGATACTAACAGCACAGGCCATATCTAAAGCACCAACCCCAACAACTGTAGTCTTACTCCGGTATTGGGTGGGGGGTGGTATGATCTTCCTTAAGAAGGTTCTGAATCAGCTGATGCTTGAGAGTTTCCATATTGGACCTAGAAGAGAGAGGAACCTGGAGTGCATATCACACAGGTGTTGGAGTGCACATTGTTGGATCCTGACTTGAAGGCAGCTGCTCCAGTCACATCTTTATGTCTCCTTTGAAGAAGTGCCCATTTAATTCATCTAAGTTTACCTTTGGAACGTAGGTGTGCCTCCTGGAAACAACAAAAGGTTAGATTCTGTTTTCTAATCCAACATGCTATTCATGTCTCTTTATTGGTGAGTATAGTCATTAATGTTTGGAGTAATTACTGATATATAGAAGGGTTTTTTTAAGATTTATTTATTTATCCATACAAGAACTGGGTACAGGCCAGAGGTGCAGGGGGTGAGGGGATTCACCAGAGACAGAGTGGGGAACAGAACAGGCAGACTGACTGAAATACACTGCTGAGGGTAGCAGCAAGCGAGACAGGAGAGGTCTGCTGTACCATGTGGGTAGCTCCCTGACCGGGGATTGAACTCGTGCTGCAATGGCTGTGGACAGCATCACAGGATGCATCTTAACCCCTTGCGCCACCAGGGAGGCCCTATGTGGAATTTTTTTACTGCCATTATGTTCATTTTGTGGTTCTATTTAATTCTTTGTTCAGTTCTTCATGTTCATTCTTCTCTTTGTTTAGATCTAATGTTCCTTGTAATATTTCTTGGAGTGGGGAATTAACAGTAGCAAATTCCCAATGATTTTGTTTCTCTGAGAAGGTTATTTTTCACTCATATAGAAAGGAAAACTTTGCAAGATAAAGTATTCTTGTTTGCCATATTTTGTCTTGGAGTTTATTGAATATGTTATTCCACTCTCTTCTTTCCCATAGTGTTTCTTCAGAGAAGTCTGAGGTTAACCTAATTGGTTTTTCTTTTTTAAAAACTATTTATTTATCCATATAAGAACTGGGGTACAGGCCAGAGGTGTGAGGATTCACCAGAGACAGAGTGGGAAACAGAACAAGAGGACTGACTGAAATACACTGCTGAGGGGAGCAGTGGAGAGACAGGAGAAGTATGTTGCGCCATGTGGGTCAGCTCCTTGGCCAGGGATCAAACTTGTGCTGCAGTGGTTGCAAAAAGCTTTATAGTGCTGCAACTTAACCCCTTGCACTACTAGGGAGGCCCCCTAATAGGTTTTTTTTAGAGTTACCTGTTTCCTCCCCCTTATCAGTTTCATTATTTTTTCTTTATTTCAGGCTCTTAGATGCTCTACTACTATGTGCCTTGCTGTAAATTTCCTTTCTTTTTTTCTTTAATTTTTTTACATCATTGTTCATTTTTAAACAATATTTGCTTCCCCCCACCCCCTCAGGAGTAGTCCCCATAGAGTTTCCTTCCCCAATGCACCCGTGCACCATCACCTCAGTCCCCTGTGCTCCTCCCTCCCTCCCTCCCTCTGATCTCCCTCCCTCCTCCTCCCTGCAGTATGTCTCTGATTTATAATTATCCATTTTTGCTTTGTTCTGTTTTGTACTGTTATTATTTTTTTACACTGATGTCTTATTTGTTTCCCCTATATTCCTGCTATAAATGAAACCATCCAATATTTTTCTTTTTCCTTCTGGCTTATTTCACTGAGCATAATTCCTTCTAGTTCCATCCACATTGCTGTGAATGGCATCAGTTTATCTTTTTTGATTGCTGAATAATATTCCACTGTGTGTATATGCCACATCTTCTTGATCCAGTCATCTAATTTTGGGCATCTGGGTTGCTTCCACGTGCAAATGGCCAACAGGCACATAAAAAAATGTTTAACATCCCCTATAATCAGGGAAGTACAAATCCAAATACACTGAGATACCACCTTACACCAGTAAGAATGGCACATATCAAAAAAAAACAAGCAACAACAAATGTTGGTGAGGATGTGGTGAGAAACAAACCCTCCTACATTGCTGGTGGGAGTGCAAACTGATCCCACTACTATGGAAAGCTGTCTAGAGGTTCCTCAGTCTACTAAAAATGTAGCTAACATATGACCCGGCAATTCCACTCCTAGGGATCTACCCAAAGGAAACAAAAACATTGATTCAAAAGAACACCTGAACCCCTATGTTTATTTCAGCACTATTTACAATAGGTAAAACCTGTAGATTTCTTTTCAGTAAGGTAGTTTGGCAGCCTTTCAGCTTCCTGTATGTCTATTTTCATTTCCCTTCTTCAAGTTTGGGAAGTTTTCTCCTATTATTTCCTTGAATAGCTTTTCAGATCCCTTCTCTCTCTCTCTCTCTCTCTCTCTCTCTCTCTCTCTCTATATATATATATATATATATATATATATATATATATATATATATATATATATATCCTTCTGGGATGCCTATGACTCTTGTATTTCCCTTCCTCATGGACTCAGATAATTCTTGAAGTGTTTCTTCATTCTTCTTCCTTCATATCTTCTTTTTCCTGCTGGTTCTTTTCATATCTGCATCTTTGAGAGTATTGATACATTCTTCTATGTCATCTATTCTATTTCCATGTTTTTTTCCAGAGAGTTTTACCTCCTCCATTAATCCTTTTACATCCTGCATGTCCTTTATTTTCTTATTTAAGATCAATCTTGATCTTCTGTTATTGATTATGTTTCTCATAACATTCTTCACTTTTTCTGTATCTCCTCATATAGCTCTGATCTGCTTTTCTAAATTTCATTTGTATTGTACAAATTCTTTGACTTTCTTAACTATGAAAGTTTTGAATTATTCATCTGACAAGGAAAATAATTCTTTGGTGTCACTGCTTTTGGGTTCTGAAGTCTGTGGTGTATTGGTCCCCTGAGAACTTGCTTAACCATTTATATTTTTCTTTCTCCCTATGGTTTGCTTTCTGGTTTGCTCTGCTATATACAGATGTGTCTTCTGTTGGGCATGGGTCTCCCTCTCTCACTATTCTGGGTTTTTACCTGGCATTGGTCTGGGCAAGAGGTGGACTGGTAAGCAGGGCCCTGGGAGCAACTGAGGCCAGTGGGAAGGGCCAGTTGTTCATTTTCAGATGTACATATCTCCAAGAGAGGAACATAATCCCCTAAAATAATTATCATTGTTAAAATTTAGATGAGTCAGCTGATCACCGTGGCAGCAAAGAAACCCTATGAGTAAGTTCTCCCATAAAAACAACTAATTGGGAGAAAAAGCAGCAGGTCCCTGCATGTAAGAAAAACTGGCAATGCTGGCAAATTGCCCAAAGAGGAAAGTTGTAATAACAGAGGACAAGAAGAGAGGAAAACATCAGAACTCTGCTACCCTTCCCCACCCACAAAGCAGCACTCTTTGACCGACAGAAAGGAGAAAAAAAAAAAAAAACAAGAACAAACTAGAGATTAAGCAGGATAGTGAGCAGAAAGGAAGTACTGAAGGCACCTCATCCCACAACCAGGAACCGTGGGGAATGGTACTAGAACCGCCCTGGAGGTGAGCAAACAGCACCGGGTAATCACAAACTCAGTGCCATCAGAGGAAGATAGGGACCCTGCAGATGACCTGCAAATAGCCAAAGGTTAGCCAGTAAGCTTGCCTAGAAAAGTGCACACACGCTCAAAAATCATTCATGGATCCACAGCTGCCCAGGTTTCCATGCCAGCAACCTAGGATTGTGGGGAGATGTGCAAGAGCCATACTGAGGTGAATGACCCTCACTGGGTAATCAAAAACCAGGCACCTGGGCATGGGATCAGGGTGAAAATGGTGCCTTAACTGTGGGCACTGAACTGGGCTACTGCCTGTGTTCTGGATCTGAGAGCTTCAGAACTGAGAACCAGGGCACAAAAATTGGAGTGAGGGATCCCCATGACAGCAGGACACAGGGCAGACATAGCAACCCATGCCTTTGAGGCACTCCATTCCACCACCACCACCACCCTCCCCCTTCCCCACCCTTTTCCCCAGAGACCAAAGGGGGAAAGGCACAGTTCTGGAAGGATGCTAGGAAAGATCTCTGGCACTACCTAGTGATTAGAACAAAATTACCAAATACCTCATAGCTGGAAGCCAGGGATTCCAAAACCACCCTCGGGCTCTGAGAGGGGGTGGGCCACGCAAACAGGGGTGAGAAGGGAAACAAGGTGGAGCAAGACTACTGAAGGTCCCATGCAACCGCCCACATTCTGGAACTGAGCCTGGCATGGGATCTGGGGCATAGGACATGCCATGACAGTGGGCACCGCACAGGGTGACCACCAGCATTTTGGATCAGAGAGCCCTGGAACTGAGAGTTAGGGCATGGAATTCAGGATGCAGGATCTGCACAGCTTCAGGCACAGTACCAGCTGAACACAGGGCAGACACAGCACCCAGCATGAGCAATAACCCCTATGTTGAGGTGCTCCCCTCTCTCTCCCCGCCATTTCCCAGAGAAATACTGGGAAAAAACACAGGTCAGAAAGTACAGGACTCTGGCACCACCTAGTGACCAGAACAAAATCACCAACTAGCTGATAGTTGGAAGTCAGGGACTCCTTTCTGGAACTGAGTAAATACAGAGGGAGGGAACTCTAAGGAACAGTGCTCAGCAACATAGCCACCCTGGTGGAGTTTTAGCCTAACAGTACTGGACTTGGTCTGGTAAACAGTTTCTGAAATCATTGAAGGAGAACTCCAAAGAGATGCCCACCAATAACAGTGGCACAACATCCCAATGCATAGAACTAATTAGAAAACAAACAGCAGGGAAAAGGAAAAATATAAATAACCAAGCCAATCCTCAGGGAAAGGACACACAACAAAAACACACAACCACCAAAATTCAACAACCATGATATGGAAGAAATTCTCTGCCTGCCTGATAGAGAATTTAAAATCTTCATTATTAAAAAAAAAAAAAAAACATAAAGAAGTCAAAAAGGAAAACATTGAAATGATAAAAATAATAAATGAGCTGAAGAATGAAACTGAGTCCCTAAAGAAGGAAATGAAAGAAATGCAGGTGATCAAAAGATTAATGGAGGAGCTAAAGAACTCTGGAAAAGTGATGAAAACAGAATCAATGAAATGGAAGAGTGGATCAGTAATCTCGAAGATACAGAAACAAAAATAACCAAAAGAGAAAAGGTGAGAGAAGTACAAAGGAAAACAAATAAGGAAACTCTTCAACAATTACCAGTCTCCATGAAGAAAGGAAATATAAGAGTTATAGGCATTCCAGAAGGTGGGGAGAGAGACAAAGGAACTGAAAAATCATTCAAA